CACACTCTGCACATGGCCCCAGGCACTCAGATTTCTGCACCCTCAGGGTGGCTCGCAGGCTCCAGAGCTAGGGTTCAGGCCCTGCTGACCACAGTCAACTGTCCCCTGCTGCCTCAGACCAGGGCCGAATTCCTGGTGTGCTTCCCTCCTGCACCCACTCAACGGCTCTGTGGGCCTTTGCAAGCACCTGCCTGGCAGGGCTATGGCAATGTGTGGAGTCAGACGATTGTGCCAAGTTGGGAGAGGACTTACAGTGAGACAGTGTAGATAAAGCCTGGGGCCCAGCTCCCCAGCAGCACCTGCTCCTGCACTGTGGCCACTGTGGCCACGTGGCTGCTTCTATTTCCTTGAGCTCCATTGCCCTCTTATCCCAGGCAGGGCCCCTTCACCCCCTGCACCTGCCACCATCCGTCCTCGCCCCTGACTCCCAAGCCTCCTATCAGTCTTGCTCTTGGGAGGGAAAGAACCCCTGGCTTGGGGAGCCTCCCGGTCCTGAGGTGGCCACCTGCCAAGGCCCTGGCGTCCCCCATCCTGGGGCTCCTGCCCCACCTCTGAGCTCTCCCTCTCCCTCTCATCCCATTGGCCTCTCCTGGCTGGGGCCTTGCTGTCTGTCACCCCTGAACAGAGCTGATACTGACACCCCAGAATGGCAGGGACCTGGAACTGTTCCACTCACCTGCTTCAACCAGCACCTTGAGGACAGACCTTTACCTGCACTTAGAGCGTTTAGTTGAACTGCAGTTTTGATAATCATGTAACTGTGTGCAAATACTAGAGCAGGTGACTGTGGTGTGAAAGGGTGAATACTCGGAAAGTGTGTGATTTTTGTCTGAGAAGTTTAGTCAGCAAGCAGCTAATTCATGGCAACATAAAGAAAGTTGATATGAAAACGGCCTTTCCCCTACATCCCTAAGGAGACTGCCAAGAAGACCAGGACATGCTACTATGTATGTTCAAGAAATGATGAAGGGGAGCACTGATGAGCTAAGATACACGGGTTTAATCTCAGATTCACTTCAGATGCACCGCCCGAGTGTCTGGAGAGGAGAATCTGGACTCCTTCCTGTATCCGTTTTGAGAGGCGTGGCCCCAGTATGAACTTGGGAAGCCTTTGCAGTGGCAAAAGTCACGAAATTAGGTGGCAACACCTTAGGACCGTCAAAAGGGAGGGTTGTCTTGGGAATGAAGGCTTGGTGTGAACAGATTTGGCTTGTTGGGTCTAAAGAACAACAGAGTATTTCTCCCTGCTCTTGGAATTCAAGGTCCTGAGCTCTTCAATCCTGGGCAATTTCACATTTGCTCATTTCGCACAAGCAGGAGGCAGGGAGAGTTGTTGGGATTCGTGCCAGGCAGAGCCGAGCACATCAGGGGCCCTGGGTAAAAGGGGGTGGGGATAGCGCAGGCACCAAAGGTCTCCGCATAGGGTTGCCAGCTGCCAGTGGACACCAGATGGGAAGGGAAACTGCATGCCCACCGTTTGCCTCTGCCTGTGGGGTGCTGCCCCCACAGTGCCTCTCAGGTGTCTGCAGCCTCACGTCTTGTTTCTTCTCTCCCCCAATGTGGATCACAGCCGCTGCAAGTCTCCGTAAACACCACAAGGCCAGCGGCCTCCCCTCGGGCTCATAGGATGCCTGAACCACCAGCCTCATCCTGAACTCCCCTCCATGGACGTGAGCCCCATTAGCTTTTCCCCCATTTAGAGGCAATGGAAGGCCAAACCCCCTTAGAGAAAGTACAAGAATCTGGGGTGAGCCGCCTCATGTGTTGAGATGTAGGAAAGTGAGATTTATTTGCAGAGAAAAGAACCCGGCTCCACTGTCCTGAGGGTGCCTCTGGTCTCTCACAGCTGGATCCCCTCATGTTTCCCAAACCCATGTCCGGATCTCCCCCTCCCCACCCTATCTCTTCACTCCTGGAAAACCAGCTCCCCTAGCTTTGCCCAGATCACACAGCAACACCATATCAGGTAAATCCTTCCTCTTTACAGTAGACTCTGAAATTGGCCCTGTGTTCCCCACTCCCCTCTTCATCAATGAAAAGGAGCAGCTTGTGGCTTCCAGCACCCGGTGCCTCCTGTCTGCGGCCCCTCCAGGACATGGGCTGTAAAGTTTCTCTTCCTCCAGACGCCTTCGTGCACCAGCCTGCACCGACCGTCCCGACCTCAGCCCACCTTTTCTCCATCCTGAGCCACAGCACATGTCCCCCAGGAATCTGTGGCTCTGACCACCTCTGACGATTCACTCCCCCGTCAGTCCCCTGGGATCCCCGAGACAGTCCAGCCTGAGCCCCTGGCCTTCCGGCCTCCCCAGCTGTGTTTCTGGTCATTCCTTTCCTTGAGTGCCTCCACCCTGGATGCCCAGGGCACCACCCTGGCCTCCCCTACACGCTGGCTTGGTTCTTCTCAACCATTGCCATTGGCTTGGTTTCTGTTGTGTTTGGTTTTTAGGGGTCAGACTGCTGAGTGCTGTTCTTCTCCCGGGCTCTGTCCTCCTCTCTCTCCTTGGGTTGCAGCATCCAGGTCTGATCCAACAACTCCACAGCACACAATGTGGCCCAGGCCATGCACGGGGGAAGACAGCAGAGCAGCCACGAGGCTCCCAAACGGAGCCAGGGCCCAGGCCCAGCACACCCTGCCCTCAGTCCCCTGCATCCACTGCCCCTCCTGCACCTGGCACTGGGCAGCGTGGGCTGTGTCAGCGGTGTCCGTCCTCCCTTCTCAATCTGTTGTGAGCTCCATTAGGCCAGGACCGGTCCTTGGAAGCTGTGGGACCCTCAGCCTCCCTAGCAGAATGTCTCGCACATAGCGGTGGCTCCATAAAATATTTATTTCCTATTATGTCCATTTATTTTATAAATTTCATGCAGGCCAGAGAGACTGGAATTATCAATTACTTTAAAAAATAAAAGGATAAAGCAAGACCTGGAAATACAAACCCAGCAGCACTGGAATGCACCAACTAAGGCAGAGAGACCCCCTGAGACTCCGCGACTGCTGGACCATTTAAGGCAACATCATATCTCAAGTGGAGAGGGAGAGAATCCGCTGGTCTTGCCGGGGGGGGTGGGGTTTTTTAAGTGGATTTAGTCATGGTCTGGACTTGCCCAATGTTCTGTGCTATGCTGTGGGAAGGGACAAGGTCCTAAACTACGCTCACAGGACTTAAATCAAACAAACAACACACACAGGTGGGTGGGAAGGCAGGCAGATGACTCAATTCTGTGCCCACCACCCACGGCCCCTGATGGGCCATGCCTTCTGCTTAGACAACAGCCTCCTGGAGCCCACAGATGGGGGCAATGGCATAAAGTCAGACTTGCAGCTGAGGCCTGACTCGCCGCAATGGCCCTGTCCTCCATCGCCAGTGACAGACCTGTCACTTTCTCACTGATCCTTCATTTTCCTATGCAATGGGGCTAATATTGTCTCTTTCTAAGGTTGCTATGAGGATTAATTTTTGAGATAATAGACATTGAGATAACAAACCTGCCAAGTGCTACATCGATGTGATTATCCTGAGATTGAGAGGAAATGTCAATGCGGCACTAGATGGTGGCATGACCATGAGTAGGAGAGAGAGTGTGGATGTTCCGGATGTCCCCGGATCTCTACCAAACAGAAGATGCAGCGAAAGGACAGCCAGTGTTCCTGGTGTCTCCTTTTCCCCTCAGGGCAATGAATTACGGGTTTTCTGTGCCTTAGTTTTCTTCCTTTCAAATGGAGTTAATAATACTGTCTGTCTCAGGTATATTCACAGACGTGAACAATTAATGATTGCAAAGAGCTTTGAAAATAAATGAGCTTACTCATAATGGTGGTGCTTGATATTTAATAAGCCTGTGCTGCTGGCTTCATGAACTATATTCATTGGTACAGGGTTTAGTTTTATGACTGGCTTTTTCAAACTTAACATAAAATACTCTTATTTTAAAGTAATCAAATGACCTTCCTGCATTCATCCAGGATCTTATTTGGAAAAACTTAAGATTTGATCATAGATCTATTTTAAACAGTGCCAAGTTAACTGACATTGATGCCATCGTATCTGGGGTCCCTAGGAAATCCAGAAGGGGACAATGAATGGTAGAAAGACTCGGACTTGGGTCTGCCTGTAACACTCGGAGCCTGCAAGGCAACACAGTTAACTGAGTTGTATTAAAACGACTTGGTGTGGCTATAAACCAAACCACACCCCTCTAGCCGACGCGAAGAGCTTCCCGTACAAGCCGTGCGGTGGGAGGGTCTCTCCTGTCTCCTCTGCGCAGCAGGCAGACATGGATGACACCGAGGTGTGAATTCAGCCTGCACCTCCTGCAGATGAGCTGTTGAAGGCGATGGCCACAGCAAGTCCGCACCAAGTGCTCTTTAAACTCAGCAAACTATCCAAAGAACAGAAAACCAAACAGCG